CTTCACATCCTTGAACAACAGAKCAAGTCCGACTTTTATTTATATCCTTGATGAACGTGTCAAGTTGGCTAGTCATGGCGATGTGRTACTTTSTGGGAAGCTTGACAGCTTGAATAGTCGTGTCCACTTTWGATCTATCACAAAAATTTCAATTAATTACAAATGATACATATTTAATGCATGGAAAATTGACCTATAGCTTATATTTAGCTACAGTTCCGTACCTTTTAGGATTGACTTCAACTTCATGTTCACTACCAGGATTACTCTTCAACGGAGAGCTTCGGCAGTCGTCGCTTGCAGGCTCATACTCGGGATCGCTTTCACTGAAAGCCTGACCTTCCAAGGAAGGCTGACTCTCCAAAAAAGCAGCCACATCCCTTGAAGATCTAAATGTTCTTTGTGAGTTTGGTTCAGTCCACTTGAAACTCTTGTTTGTCTTTTCGACTTTCCAGCCACGTGCCACAAGCTCGTCGTTTGAAAAAGGAAGACGAGACGAAGATCCAAGTCGCCTAACATTATGTAATTGCTCAGACGATAGCCTTTTCATGTTATCAATAAAAAAACTCTAAAGATTCACTATTGGAGATAAAAACTACGAATATATAAGCTTGGATAATAGATAGAAAGATCACTCATGGAGATTTGTGTYGAAGGTGTTTTGAATTTGAGACGCGTGTCAATGTTCTGCACATGCGCAGTGTGCCGTTGCTATGGTTGACGTCATTGTTTACTTTACGAAGTTCGCGAAAGCAAGCACGATTGCGTGGGACGCTGATTTCCGACGATATTCGTAMSTTTCCGTGATCAAATCGATACAATTCCGTGCAGAATCATGCAATGCAATGTGGGAAACAAAATGRCTGTCGATTTGTAAAGAAATGGCGAATTTTGCCTGGTTTACAGTCGATAAAACCTATAATTTTGCAAAAGCGATGACGTGTTCTTGAATAAATCATTCTGTATATGATGTATCTCTTTCAAATTTTGTATAAAGGTAAATTAGGCCTTATAAATTAAACGCTACGCAGCCCCCATCGAAATTATACTTTCATTTTAAGTTACAGCCTCCGCACCCAAAGGTGCAGTTACAGACAAAAAAATAAAAATTTTGACGGGGGCTGCGTACAAAATTTTACTTTTATATAGTAGTCTTAAAATACAGCATTAAATGTTTCAAACAATAATTGTAAACGGGAATATCGTGAATTAAAAGGAAAAAGTACCGTGGGTTCCCTGTTTGATTTCAACACCTTATGTGTGAAAATTCACACTTTTGACCACACCATTAGGAACCTTTTTTATTGAGTATTAACGTTATGGATTTTTTTTTAAGAATACTGTCTTGTCCTTACATTATTTTAGACCAAATGACACCCATTTTAAGCAGATCTAGTACCTTAAGAAAGGTAAATTTCATGTGTAAATTGTGTTTTTGTATATAAGTCATAAAACACACTAGTTTCCTGTCGTTAAAACTTTAATGTATCACCAATAAAGCCCTTTTCAAAACTTACACAGCCCTCCCCCGTTCTTCTTGCCGAATTTTTTTCGCGAGGTAAGTCACGAKATGTCGATCAGGCACTATTTTTGTTGTTTTACGATTARTGAWGACCGATCCAAGTCCGATCCTMGCACTAGAATTGATATAACCACAAACTTGAACACGTCGTAGTAGTTTTGTATAATTTATTCCATCTTTACAGCATTTTTTTGCTAAAAAGCACGTGCCAATGCACGAAGCCGGTTGTTGAGCAATTTCGATTTTTAACCTTATTTCCAGTTGTTCCTTCATGCGATCTTTTAGTTTTAATGTTCTTTGATTTTTTTTTAAGCAAGTTGTTTTTGCCACATTTTATCCATTTAAACGTGTTAAAACAGACTTTTGTCACTGCTCGGAGTGCCGGTAACTAAAAAGGTACTGTGGGGGGGTGGGTAGCAACAAAAGTTATCTTCTGGGTTTTTTAGCAATTTCTTATTATTTTCACATCATTTCGCTTGTGAGAAATCGAAGGATATCTTATACACGAATGATACAGAAATAAAAATGTCATATGTTTCATCTTTTCATGTATTTTCTCTTTTTTTAAGGTCTTCATTGCTTTTTGGATTGTGGTAAGTAGTATCATGTTTATACTATTGTATCTCGCTCAATATTGATCCCCTAATGTTTAAACTTGGTCAACATGTAGCACTGGGGTTAGGCTATGTGTCATGTAAGTTTAATGCGTAAACAAGGTTACTAAGATAGTATTAAGGAAGGTTACTAAGATATAGGTGATCAAATATGGTCATATTTTACCCTCTTGGGTAAGAGTTAAGGTAGTACCATCTTTAGTCTATATTTGATTCACTGTATCTTCCTTAATACTAACTCCCCAATGTTCATGTATCATCTTTTTTTTAGATTTTTAATCGACACTTCTTTCTTCATTCTTGCTTGGTAAGTAACACCATCTTTATTTTAGTTTTAATTCATTGTATCTCGTTGGATATTTATTCCTCCATGTTCAAACTTGGCCAATGTGTAGCACGTATGTTAGACTATTCGTTGTCTACGTTTAGTGCGTTAACAAGGCTTGGTTACACAGTTATAGGTGCGCAAACTCAGTAGAAATACTCTTTTTATGTCATCAGTTATCATGTCACTGGATCAGTTTGACGTTGTTGTCCCCCAGAATGTGATGCACCTTGTCATCCAGGTGCATCACTTGAGGTGCCACTTCAAAGAGGCCCTCGTCAAGTCGCGTGGGGTGGTGAGACCCCTTGCCAAACTGGTGAGCTATACTTGTGTTAGATTGTACAATGAAATTGTGGTAGGTTTTTGTTTGAATTCTTTTCCATGTTATTGGATATCTTATTCCTTTTCAGACAGAGGATCAATTTGACATCCTAACTAATGTGCTGAAATCCCTGGGGGTGGATATCAAGCCGATATCCAACCACCTTGAGATTCCTCTCGTAGAGGGAAGGGGTAAGTGTCTTGAATGAACATCGAACTCAGTCAATTTCTTACGATGATTAAGTGTCCTTTTTTATTTTAGCTGCAGCGGACCTCCCCACTAATCTTGGGGAGGATGGGGTTGTGGAGTACCAGCCTCCTGAAGGGCAGGTCCAAAAGCATCCCACTGTCAGCAGCCAAGATCTCGACAGGGCAGTGGATGCGCACTTTGCGGTCCTCGACATGGAGCCCATCAGGATGGCTCCAATCGAGGTGGAGCAGAGGGCCGCAGAGTGCCAGACGGACGATCACCAATGTTCCGTCTGTCATATTCCACTGCCCTTTGCGATGATGGACTGTTGGGATCACGCAAAGGACCTGCCCGACGACGAACTGGAGGCGGGTGTCTTCGCAACCCCCGCATCTCGCAACAAGCTTGAGGTAAGGACTTCCATTGTCGTGCCTATAATTCACATGTTCTAACAGCTGTTTGAATTTGTATTTAGATTGCTAACCCTAACCCTAACCCACCAGAAGTCCCAGGGGTCATTGCGACCCCTGATGAATCATCTCGCCACGAGCTTGAGGTAAGGACTTTCATTGTCGTGCCTACAATTCACATGTTCTAACAGCTGTTTGAATTTGTATTTAGACTGTACCGCTTGACGTACTGGTGACGCCACACAGGCGCCGCGTCAGCGATGACGATGTAAGACCTTTGCTTTTGTTCGATTTGTAACTCACATGTTCTGACATTAATTCCAATTTGTATGTAGACTGTAGAACCCTATCCATTCGCGTTTCGTGACTTGCCCAAGGTAAGACCTTTGCTTCTTGTTTTTTTTGAAAATCAAATGTTCTGACAGTTATTTTAATTAAAATCTATTGGATGTAGGTACCAGATTTTTAGCGGGAAACGAAGCTGCGCCTCCAGATGGCTTTTGTCTCTTAATTCGTTTTCTTTATTTTGACATGCTTAAAAAGATGTCATATTTTCTGATAGGAGATCGATTTGGTTACCGAACACGCCACCCCTCCCAACGTCACCCGGGCACCACGTTACGATGACGAGGAGATGCCCATTTCCAGACTATCCCAAAAGGTATGAATATCCCTTTCTTTTTTGTATACCACCTATCAATACACTGATCGTTGTTGTACACAACTACAGGTTGATGATGATTCTGATGATGACGTTCCCCTCTCTTTGCTAAAAAGAAAGAGGCCCAGGAAGGTAGGAATATCCCTTGCTTTTCTTATATACCGCCTATCAATACATTGATCATTGTTGTACACAACTGCAGGTTATCGAATATGATGACGATGATGAGCATGATGATGACACGGATAATGACATGGATGATGACTCTGATGATGAACGTGTCGAGGAGAGTGACTCAGAGGGGCAACAGCATCGACAGCAGCCACTAGCCGGGGTAATGGGTCACAAAACCACCAAGAGGGTGCTGTTGCTAGCCCCCACATTCAGTAGAGCCTCCAAACCGCTGCCACCGAATATTACGGTGTTCGGGCCACGTCCATCCTATGGCCCTTGGAGGCAAGAATGTGGGGTGCAGGCAACGGCACCCACGGCCTCGGTCTGCACGCAGATCTTTGAGGCCAACCCATTGCTCATGGCTCAACCTCCACCTGTTGTGGCTGCTGTCCAACCACCTGCTGTCCAACCACCTGCTTATCAACCACCACATGAGCTCTCACAACCTGCTGTTCCTGCACCTGCTGTTCCGGCACCTGCTGTTCCTGCACCTACACCTTCTGGTGTGCTTGGCTCCGCTCAATTTTCAACCACCACTTATCAACCACCACATGAGCTCTCAGAACCTGCTGTTCCTGCACCTGCTGTTCC